AGGGGGCATCGGGCACCTCCCGTGGGGTCAGCCTGCGGGGCCTGGCACTCTGTGGGGCTCCGGCCTCATCGGGTGCTGCGTCTGCTGCTCGTAGACCCAGAAGGTGCTGAGCAGGAGTCGGGCTCCTCGCTGGAGGACTGGGCTAATCCCGAGGAACTGCAGTGGAGGCTCCCAGTTCTTCATAGTGTTGCATGGAAGCAGCCCTCTGCTCACACTCTCTTGAAAACGTTTGTGGGTGTGCTTCAGGTTCCTGGAAGGTCTGCAAGCCTCCAGGGCAAATCTTCCCACAGCGCAAAACCAAATTTTAGGCTTTTTGTAAAGCTTAGCTTGGCGACTCCTCTTTGAGGCTTTTTATCACGTTTTGCTCCAGTGCTCTGCTGCAGTCCAAAGGCCAAGGCTTGGCTCAGCTCCCCGCTGTGCCCCATCCCAACTCACCTCCCACAGCTCTCGCTGGCTCCCCCCGGGAGGCCCCTGTCTCCTCCCTGCTGCCTCCTGCCCACTCCTTGCCCCCAGGACGCGACAGCTTTGTTGTTCCTGGTGGTTCTTTGCAAACATTCATCCATACAAAGTCAGTTGGTTACACCCCATATTTGGGGTATGGAAAGACTGCTCTTTAGTAGAAAATTATAAATGCATGGAAAAACTGGAGACCAATCCTTCATTTAAAGGGAAAAAAATTCTCATTTGTCGCCCTCATTCCCCTGAAATTAGGTGTGGAGAGCGGAAGCTTTGCTGCAGTGCCCGGTCCCACGCCTGGGTGAATGTGCAATCCAAGCTGCCTGCAGGACACTTTGGAGCCATAAATGCATTTTCAGAAATGAGAAGTGATTTGTACACAGAAAGGGATAAAATTGGCTAGATTAGAAAACATTTCTGAGATGAATCATTTGATTGCTTCTTCCATGGAGTAAATATGCACTTAATCCATTGTGTATTGCGTGCGTACTGGGAAAATACTGCACGTTGGCTGCTACTTAATTCAAAGGCTACTCTGTGCAAAATATTTCTGCCAAATTCTGCAACATTTTCACGTCATCTCATTCTCACAGGGTTAGGGAATATGCGTGGGTTCTGAGTAAATGTAGAGAAAAGGTTGCAAGGTTGCTCTGGGGTACTGAAGGAGCCTGTTTGGGGAAGGACCTGTGTCCGAGCCCTTTTGAACAGCATCTTCTGTTGGACCCGATGTGCTTCCACAACCCAACACACTCAGACAGTCTGAACAAGAGCCCCAAATGGTTTCTCCTTGTTACATTTGTAGAAATACCTTTTTTTTTTTTTTTCCATCAAACTTGAAAGTCTTCCCCAACAACTAAAACTCTCTTCCGTCTTTATCACTCGGTTTTCATGTTTTACACCGCAGTTGTACACTGCATTCCTGTTGTTAATTAGCACTGCATAAAAGACAGCTGGTTTTATCAGGTTTTCACCTCTATCCACGACACCCCTGCACTAGGAGAGTACAGGCATTAATACTCAAAGCTTCTTTGTTTTACAAAGCTATTGCACGTAAAATACTTTTGTGTATCAGATAAAACAGCAAGAGGTCCCACGTTGCCCTCTGTGCTGCTCGGTTTTGCCTTTTCTCAGCGTGCCAGCCCCAACACCCCCGGGCAGTGTTCATGGGCAACACACTCGGGAGGCTGGGCTCGGTCGGACCCGTGCTGCTCCCAGCCAGGACAGCAGCCGCCGTCCCGGGGCTCACTTTAAATCTGATGGGAATCCTGCTTCTGTCGTTAATTCTTAACCACAAATCTCAACTTCTGTGAGCCCTTCTCTTCCTAAGCCAAGCTCATTTGTTCTTACGAGCTGCCCAGGCAGCGGGGCACTTGTGAGGCTGTTTTGTGTGCTGGGCAAGGAGGGGTTGGCTTCATCGTGGTGCGAGTGCCTTCCTGCATGGTGGAGGGGGACTGTGACACATAAATAAATGTCAGCGTCAGTGTGAAGTGAAATTGTACCGCCAGAAACACCCATCAGTAACTGACTGCACCCAGCCGCTGCAGAAACGTGCTATAGAAATACCGGGGAACGTCTGAGGTTTCCCTGCTTCACCCCAACCCTCTGTTGGCTCTCATCAATATGTCAGCGTTTGGAGGACTTTCAGAGCAGCTCCTTGCACTTGTAGAACAAGTCCAGAGCCCACAGGACTCCTGCAGGGACTCACAAGCTTCTGCTGAGCTCTGTCCTCAAAGCGATGCTTCCCTCTGACATCCCAGTTCCCCGCTATATAAACTGGTTCCTTACCCCGTGCCGCACGCAGCTGCTCTCAGAGTTATCTTTCTATTCAGATTCCATGTTGAGATCATTAATTAAATGACTGAATAGTTATTTTCATGATCCATTTGTGAAGAATTTCAGCCCGATGCTTCTAGTTTCTTATTCCTAATGGGAATGTCATTTTTCCCTTTAAACAATGCCACCATATGCTTAAGCTACTAAATCACCATTTTCTTCTATTTAACAGTTTCCATAGTTGCACTATTTTAATGTTTTATCAAAGAGATTTATTGCATTATCTTCTGCTGTTGGATTTCCTTCATGTAAAGAACCTCTTTATCAAATAAAAATGTCCCATTAGTCTGTTGCACTTTGAATTACTTTCCTTCAACTTTTGAAGTCATTTTAAAGCCCTGAGTTCCATTGTGGTCCCAGTGGTTAGCCTAACATTTGCCTGATTCACTCTCCCCATTTCCTTAAATGTAGATAATGGTGATTATTTTCTAGTCACATAGTACCTTTTTAGTACATTTTTTTTTTTTTTTGGATTTGCAGTTTCCTGCTCTCAGCCATGGATCCGTTCAGACTTTTCCCTGCCCTGGACCCCATCAGGCTCTCTGCCTGCTCCGTACGGCGCGCTGCTGGGCACTGCTCCATCCGGGTCCGAGCTGCTCCTCCTGGGCACGCTTCTCCCAGCCTTGTTTCCCCGTGCTTGCTGCCCAAGCTAGCTCTGATTTCTTTTGCTCAGGTCTCACCTCCTGTCTCCTCACTCGCTTCTTGCAGCTAGTGTTTCCTTGCCTGTGGCCAGGAGGTACTTGCAGTATCTCCAGTGCCTTCATTCTCGCTGTATTCCCGTACTTTGCACAGCCTGTGCTTTGCTGGTATTTAATGGTTTTCTTCCCGTCATTATGCTTTCTTTCCTGGCTCTCTGCTCCTTCATGTGTTTTCCTTGCGGCTCACAGAAATCATCTCTCCGACTGCAGTTCAAGAGTGCATCCCTAGTGGAGACAGCCTTTGCTCATCATTATTTGCAGCCGGGTGGAACCCAGACGGCGCTGCCCTAGCACATGTCGCAGTGCCCCTGGGACTGCCGAGTGCCTGTGAATGCCGCCCAGCCTCCCGCTCTCCCACCCATCACCGGTGTCCCCAGGCTCTCTCCAGATGTTTCAGAAAGATGAATCCAAGCCCTAAGCCATCAGGATCCGTGCCTCTGTGCTGCCGCTCCAGCACCTCCACGGCTGCAGGCAGGGAAGGCGCGAGCTGCCCTTCCCAGCTAGGTGCTCGCCTCTTACTCCAGAGCCAGTTGCTGAGAAATGCTGTCAGAATTCCTCACTAGCTTCCTACCCGCTTCCTTGATTCCTTCTTATCCCTTCCTTATTCCTGCTATTACAAGTTTTAGTAACTGTGCTGGATGCCCTGCCCCTGGGACTTGTCAGGGACCCGTTGTAGTATCCCTAAGAGTACGTTTCTCCTCGTCCCAGCGTGTAAGTGAGCAATGTGAGAGGAAAAGCTATTTTAGAGAAATTGCAAATGTTTCCTAACGCATGACACAAAATACTGACAACAGCAGTATATTGCAGGGCCTAATTACCTTAGGAGAAGGTTGTACTGCCGTTATGCTAGCATGTTGGCTTGGGTTTTCTTTTTTGGTCGCATATCTACAGAAAAGATTTTCAATTAGCACTGACCTTTAATAGTCCTACTGGGATTTGATTCTACAGATGGTGAAATGGACTACGGATTAGATTTTTCAATACACCTTGTTCTTTGTATTTTCCAACTGATTACTTTTGGACAGTTGGCAGTACCGGGGCTGCTGCATTCAGCTCACAATTCCCTCGCAATCTCCAGTGCCGTGTTCAAACCCCTGAGGTATTGTGTCGAAATGCTGTCAAACTCTTCAGATAGATGTATTTTCATTCTACAGCTGCACTTTTTACTCAGTCAAAAAAAAAAGTCTTTCTGGAGGAATACTTCTGAACTACAATGTAGAAAGAAAGGGATCTGTCTGGGGTGCAGCTGCGTCTGTTGCACGGTGTCGGTACTCCCCGGGCTCTGATTAAGGCGACTTTTCTGCCCCTAAGAACACCATGTTTGATGTGATTGTGCTAATAAACAGTAACTGTGCAAAAGCTAAAGAATAGCATTTTAAACAAATCACGCTTACTTGTGTCACTACCATACCACGAATGTCTTAAAAAGGTTGTAGCAGAACTATGCTTTAGCTTTCCTTGCTGTCTGCAGGAAACTCTGTGCTGAGTGCCCGCTTACTTCAAACAAGATGTCCTGAGCAGGAGATCAGCAATTTCTTCTCTGTTGAGAAGAAAAAGACATTTTTTAGATTCTAAGGTGTCATTAATTTTTAGTGGAGAAAGTTTTTTGGTTCCTTAACTAAACGAGCAGAAGTTTATTGCGTCTTAGGAGAAGGACAGCAGTTCTGCACAGGCCCACGGCTGGTCCTCGTGGGCTGACCCTGGGTGGGCTACGACAGGCAGGCACTGAGCTGAGCTCAGGAAAAAACGAGGCTTCCTCCCTGCTGCTGCCCTGAGCACTCACAGCAGGGAAATCAGACAGGGAGAACATAGCGAAAGACTTATTTGTTTATTGCCTGTTTGTAAGATCAGTTTTTGGTTTTATGATGATTTGCGAATTAACAAATGACTCATGTATTTTGGTTCAAGTCTAAGGTACTGTAGCTGTATTCAGTGTAAAAAATCAATGGCAGGTTAATGGTGTTTGAAAATGTTTAGATTTGCGTACTTAATGGTTTCACTTTTTTTCCCCAGGTGTTATTTGGAAGATGGAGCGTCAAAAGGTGCCTGGCTGAATCGGTCAAGTATTATTTTTGCTGGAAGTGATAAGTGGTCAGTAGATCCCCGAGTTTCAATCGCGACAGCAAATAGAAGAGAATACAGCCTGCAGATACAGGACGTGGATGTGACAGATGATGGTCCCTACACCTGCTCTGTGCAAACTCAGCATACTCCGAGAACCATGCAGGTGCACTTAACTGTACAAGGTATGTGTTTAAACTAATCGCAAATTGTCATGGAAAATGTACTAGAAAAATCTGTGTTTATAGATGGGAAAAGCCAGCTAAGCACTTTTTTTTTTTTGATATATGCAGCCATAGACTGTATATATTTTATAGAAAGTGTTTTCGCAATCCAATCTTTGATCTATTTAAGTCTACCTGCCCTTCACTGGTCATGCATAAAATTGGAATGTATGTTGACAGTTGGTTCCAGGTCCCAGCAAATAGATAGTACTGAATGGTTCAGCAGTTGACGCTAGCTCTGATTGCCCGTTTTTGGTAAAATTTCTGACATTGCCTGGCTTACCTGCAGCTTCTGCTGGGGGAGCAGATCCCCAGCTGCAGTCATTCCTTTGGGGGCTAGAAGTGGCCAGGAGTCCTAGCAGGCCATTTCAAAACAGACGTGCTCTGTTGTAGCTCATGATGGCTGTCTCAGTGCACAGTTTAATGAAAAATACCTGAACATGGTTGTTATGTGGAGGGCAAAAATACGAAAGGAAAATACAAGTACAGCAGTTTTGTTCCCTGGAGTGGTATTGTGCAGGTGTCTCTCCGTTTGCTGTAGTCTCCTGTGTGGCTCAAAATGTGGTTGCTTTGCATTGTGCTCAGCCTAGGCATCATGTATGGATGCATGCTCACTGTAGAGAGTTGGGAGAAGGTTTCCAGCCTCTGCATGGTCACACTGAAACCCAGTATTGCCAGAAACAACCCCACTGTCTTCGTGCTGCCAAGACGTGTTCAGAAATAAGAGCGGGGCCGGGCAGGAGCAGTGCCAGGGCCGTGCTGCATGCCAGCGGTGAGCCACGGCTCCGGGGGCTTCTGGCTGTGCCCATCACCCTCAGCCTGGCCGTGGGGTGGGCGTCCTGTCCCCAGGGCTCTCACCCGGGTGTCTGCATTCAGCTGGTGTGTGAAAGGCAGAGTAATTCATCTGAGCACCTCGAGTGTGTGCCATCACAAACACGGTTATAACAGCAAGAATTAACTCATCAGCCAAATGAGAGTGAGTAAAGCAGGTTTCTTTCAAAAATATAAATGCACAATTCATTAAGACCGAAAATAAACAAGTTAAGACAAATGTAAGCTGATTTTGCTGTAACATAAAAATCCATAGTTTTTCTTTCAACGAGACCGCAATTTTCTCATGGAAGTACTGACTAAGATCCCAATATCGTTAAGTAGAGAAGTCCATTTATTTCCAGGAGATGGTTTTCTGTTACAGGCGCTGCAGAACAGGGGTGTCAGCTTTACGCAGTATTGATAGCGCTGTTCCAGGGTGAACAATTCTTAGTTCTGATTATCTTTGTAATAGTTAATGCCCTCGCACAAGGGGCTAAAAAAATAGTTGGAAATTAATTGCATTTATAAAACATATAAACAGGAGCTTAAAATTAATTAGGCTAACTGCAAAAATATAGAGAAATAATAACTCAATAGTTAAAATATGCATAATTATTAAGCGATTGCATTTATATCTTCAGAAATGCAAAGTATAACCTAAGGCTTTAATTTATTAGTCTTTGGTGTAATCATCATTAACATTTTCTTTTGCATTTTTATGAGTAATAAAGCAATGAATATAAAACAGAAGAATTGAAATGGCAATCTCTATTAATCCATATGGCACACCAGAATCCCTTACAAGTAACACGTATGAAATGCTTCTCGGACTAATTATTCTTAACCGCTGGACCTTCAGACCCCGACGGTTTGTATGTTAGACTCTAACTTTGTAAGCGCTAAGGGTAGTTGTGGCATAAAGAATATCAGGAGAGCCAGAAAGCCATCACTCAGTCATTTTTACAACTTTTCCTCAGAGGCAGCTGTTCTGTGAAGACCTGTGTGTGTTCTGCTTATATGGGGGCTTCAGGGAACACAGACGGATTTCTTTATAAGCAGTTGGGTTGGGAAGTTGAAATGAAGAAGCTGTGACAGCATCAATTATTATTTCAGTTGTGTATGTATTCAATTTCTTCAATATTAATTCAGTTTTATGTAAGAAAGAAGTAGCAGCTCTATGAATCGCAGCTAGAACAAGAGAACCATTTTCAAGACAAAGCTGAAAAAAATCACCAACTACTTTTTCCTGTGTTGTGCCATTATCACTTAGCTAATAGCACTTAGGTAATTGCAAGCCCTGCACTCGTGCTCGCTGCTGCCTTCAGCGTCCCAGCCCCGCACCACAGCGTGCCCACGCACAGCGTCCGGAGCGGGTCACCCATGGCTGCGCTGCTCACAAAGCTCCTGCTTCACCTTCCCTGTGCCGGGGCTCGGGAGGTGCGGCACGAGATTTATGTGTCCTTTGAGATGGAGACAGACCTGTCTGAAAGTAACTGAGGCTGTAAAGGAAACATCAAACAGCTAATTGGTGCTGTAGCTTATGTGTGCTTTCCTCCAGAATGGGGTTCGCAGGGATGACATAATAACATTTTATGGGGGCAGTTTTATGTTTCCCCTTTATATTGTTCATGACTTTGTATTGAAAGATTAGAAATAACTTCTGCTAGTGGGGAAAAATAAATGAAGGGAAAAGCAGATCTTTAGCCAAAGTAAAATCATTCAGTCAAAGGGCTGGGTTTCCATTTACACTGTGAATAAATGATCAGCAGCAGATCTGGAGCGGCACATGAAATAAAGGAGCAAAGAAAAATTTAAAAGCAAAGACTTAGCCCTTTAAAATTCCTCTGCCCTACAGGCTGTATTCCATCGAATAACACTGAAAGAAGACATTCTCTGTCTGAAAATAGCAGAACTGGAGGAGCCAGGGGTGTATGCAGTGGGTTGTAAATTAAATGAATAAAGACTTATGTCTGATCATAAGCTCTCAAATAGGTTAAACTCCAGACTGAAAAATTATTTGCTGTGAAACCTCCACTTCAAAAGCTGTGTAAATCCAACTCTGCTTCCCTCTCTGTCTTCTCTCTCTCTTTTTCTCTTTGGTGAGATCTTTCTATACACACAGATCCTGTAGCTCTCATTTTGAATACTCTCTACTCTGCTATTTGGGCTGACAGTTTCTGATCTTATTTATCTAAATGTTTCAGAGAATAAATACATTTTAGTGGGTTAAGGATGTCTTAATTTCCACGAGTAAAACACAGAAAGGTAAAGAGGTCCAAGCCACAAAATCAGCATTTCTGCCAGCCTCCCTGGCTAAGCCTGTGGATGGTTCCTGTTTTGTTTTCCTTGGCACGAACGTTCAATAAATTCATCCCGCCTCCATTACTTCTCTTCCACTTTTATCTGTTTTCTGGCACTTTACAAGAGGATCCCCAAACACAGTTTTGGCTGCATTGGACCACATGTTGTACACTCGCAGGTTAAACCACAGATCTTGTGCACAAAAAATTGAGATGAAATGATCAGTAAAACAGCTGAAGGTAAGGAGGTGCCACTCCATCCCTGCCCCATGTGCAAACACAGGGAGAGACCCGGCAGGGTTTGGTGAGCTGGCCACCAGCAGAGCCTGACATTGAACTTCAGCCTGCCAAATCCCTGCACAAAGCTGTAGCGAGACCTCCAAGTCAAGTTTAGATCAGTGCTACTTATTGCATAGCTAGACCTTTTTGTGCCATGAGAATTATTTGAGATAATTGTTAAAGAAAGAAAAAAGCCTAATGTGTCTTTAGTCCCATTTACATCAGTGAAAGAAAAAACAGATGAAAGAGAGGAAGATAATCCAGTTAACTTTATTTCGGTGACCTTATTAAATGGGAGTGAGAATTATGAAGTAATTAATTAAAAGTTTAGAAGGTAGGAGTTTGTAATCAACTTAATCTACATCAGAGCCAGATGCTTGATCTGCAGAGTCGTGAACTGCAGATGATTTAAATATCAGGAGCTTGCTGTAGTTAAGTCAAAAAATGAAATACCTCTTACCATACTACATTGCCCATAATTTTCCTACGGAAAGGTTGCCATTTCTGCCATTTCTAATCTGGCATTTATTCTATCAAAGTTTAGCTTGCATCCTCCGAGCTGTGTTTCCCCTTCAAGGTGCAGAAATACTAAGACACGTTTACCAGCAGCCCCGAGAGTTAATTCTGCCCACGAGCTGAGCCGAAGGTCACAGCCCCACTGCCACCCGCGTGCAGGTGTCAGGACGTGGTGCTGGCCGTGCTGGCCATCGGTGATGGGGGGCACCGTGTGTGACCCCCTGCCACCCAGGGAGGGCCTCTGGGCTCCTTGGGGAACACAGGACACATCAGAACCAAGTTGTTGCACTCGAGATAGCAAAATGAGGGCTGGGAGGGAATTTCGTGACGTTTAATAATACGTGTGGTGTGGGTCCCAGGACAGAGGGACAAACATACGGCTTGAAGGACTGCACCACTACAAGACCCAACGCCTTCGACCCCATCAGTGGGGGCGTAGCAGCCCCACTGATGACACGTCAATGCTTTCCATGGGCACCAAAGTGCTGACGCTGCAGAGACGGGGACACAAACAGTCTCCTACAGTAGTCTCTTGAGGCCCTAACTTTGATTTTGGTATGCTCTGGGTCCACCATGCTCTTGGGACCACGCCGGGAGCAGCCCCGGGGCATGCAAGCTGCTGCCGTGCCCCTGTGCTGCCCCTGGCATCCCGTGCCTGTGCGCAGTCTGTGCTTGGAACTCCGTGCGTGTAAATAATTCAGTTGTCTATGCAAATGCAATTTATAGATTCAGTCAGAAACCACAACCTATATTTTTGATTTAAACATGTATAATATTTCCAAAGTAATACTCAAGGCCCTTTTTCTGTTTAATAAACCTCCTTAATGTCCCCTAAATATTAATGTATTGATTTAGTCTTTGCAATGTTTGCAAAGTCTAATTTGTTTCCTCAATCAGGCCGAGAGGGACTTGCGTTTGGAGCTAACGAGATAAATCTTACCCAAATTTATTTAAAGTGGGACAAAATAAATATGCAAAAGACTTCTAAAATCATATAACAACCACTTTCCAGCTAAAACTGACAATCCATTACTCTTTTAAATTGCCAGCACT